TCTCTCTCAGTGTGTGTGTGTGTGTGTGGCTGTGTGTGTGTGTGTCTATGTCTCTGTGTGTGTGTGTCTGTGTGGGCGTGTCTCTCTGTGTGTGTGTGTCTCTATGCGTCTGTGCGTCTGTGAAGGTCTGTGAAGGTGTGTGTTTGTGTGGGTGTGTCCGTGTTTTCTTCTCTTTTTTTCTCTGTTTTTCGGTGGGCTCCTGTTTTGTATCCATTTGGTTGGTGCCCAAATCCCTATCCTCAGACGCACCCCAAATTGGAAACAAGCACTTGAAGCAACTTGAGGCGCCAGACACTCCCTTGTGCAGCAAGGGAACCTCACACATCCTGACCCAAGAGCCGTGCCTTCCTGAGGGACTTGGTCTTCCATGATCCAACGTGGATAGGGCAATGCTTGATCTGTGCTAGTCGCTAGTCTCAAAACAAGGAAAGTCCGGGCCGGAGTCCGCGCTGCTAGTCACACACTCACTTCCATGGGCATTCCGCCCCGCAGCCTCAACCAAACCTCCTGTGGCCAGGGGTTGAAAACAGGGTAGGATTGCATATGTTTTGGAGGGCAGTGTTGAGCCTCAACTTTGGGCAATGTCGTCTGATTTATGCGAAGCTCGTCTGCTTTTGGCTTATTCCAGCCTTGAGGCTTGTCTCAGCCTAACAAAGCCGGAATCTGGATTCTGGAGGCGCTTGAATCTTTGGTTTAGATTACCAAAGATTCAAATCAAAGCAGACCACATTTGGCCGGAGATGCATGTTAGTCACGGCGCAAATGGCGAGTAGCAACTCAACTGGTGGCACCGGACACTGCGCTCCTTGATAGAACCTTTTCAGGGTAAAACATATAATGAACTCTGTCTATGTTGATCCGAACCAACGTGAAAAAGGCAGTTTCTGTGCCACCACTTGATCAAGTTACTTCTAAGCAAATTGACCCCATGTCCCCAAACCCCAAGCGGCCAAGAGCAAAAACACACTCTCTTTTTGGTAGCTGGTTTAAATGAAACCCTCTAAGGGAACGAACAAGGGCACCACTCTGAGCTTCACGCGTGACTCTCCGGCCCTTCGGGAACTCAGAGATTCGAGATGGTTTGGCCTCGACTCAAGGCTTTCCCAGCGACCAGCAAAAGTGAACCCTGGCGAAAACACAAACACACAAAAGGCAAGGGGGAATCCGCTGAACAAGGACGGACACAAAAGCCCGCAACTCCTCTGCGGATGTGGAATAGACTGGATGCCTTTTCGTGACGTCGAAACTCTGTTGTTCACCGCATGTGCTACAGTCGAAACAAGCCATGGCGTGGATGTGGAGATTCGAGATGATCGCACTTTTCTTGACAGACATCTGCATGCTGATTTTCTGAACTGTAGTGGTGCCACAAAGGTGTCGTTATGTGTTTTCAGACGTGCGGCCAGGGAGGAAGAGCTCAGACAGCTAACCAATTCTTTCCTCTTGTTCATGGAGCGAACCGATTTGGAGGCCCCGGCGATGTGAACTGATCCTTCAAAGAGCTCACGCGATCCTCGGGAATCCCGTCGGGCCAAAGGCCCAAGGCCTGCTGAGATCTGCGTTGCTAACGGGCCAACTCCAGCAGGTCCGATTGGGCATCTATTCTTGTCGTTGCTCTTCGCCGAGCAAAAGCTCTAACATTTTGTAACTTAACCGAAAAGCCATGTGGATGTGGGTCAAAAACAGGTACCCAGGATGCAACCCTGGCAAATGGAAACATGGACTAAAACCTGCAGTCCCCTCATGGTGAGTTCTGACCCACACCCATGTGTTCCAAAAAGGTCCAAGGGTAGATCACGCCAAAGACCAGCCACGTTTTGACGGATTCGTTCGGTGGCTGTATTCAGGTGGCCTGAGAAAGCTTTCAAGCATCTCGCGCGTGGGGAGTTCTTCTCCTGGCTAACCTTTTCCACCATTTGGCTGTGGCATGTGGGTCAAGAATCGGGCAACTCCCAAAAGGGTTTGCCCTGGTAAAGGAACCAAAGACAAAAAAACCTGCGGTCCAATTCCTGGTGGTTTACTTTTGCCTTTGGGGGAGTCTTTGCTGCGCAAGTCGGGCACTCCCGGCTGTTCCCAGCACGCCATGAAGGGCGCAAGCCGCGCGATCAAGTCAAATCCTGTCAAGACTCCTTGTGGCAATAGGCAGGGACTTTACATTCTTTGGCGGTTCACTCTGAGGTGATCACTCTAATCTTGAAGCAAGCGGTAGAACAAGAACAATGCGTCCAAAGGGATGTGAATCTGTAGTCTTCCTTATGCCCGCGTTGCTCAAAGTTGAGAAACCACTTGCTCGCTAAATCATACCCTCAAAGCCCTTCAAACATGGCATCAACCCAGCGGAATCCTTTTCAACTGACCATGGGAGTGCGTCTTGTTTGATGGGTCCAGTCAGCTTCCCTCGAATTGGTGGTTTGAAGCCTTGGTGTTTGTAGAGGGCTATTGGGAACCACCCCTTAACCACCAAACCACCGGGCTCCAAACCACCAACTGCTGAGGATTACCTCATCCAGGATGTTTTCTGCCTTAGGACTTATGGACAAAACCTGCACACATCGAGAAACCTGGGGCAAACTGCCGTCAAAAAACAAGGGTCGGTGCTTGCTTCACCCACATGCTGCAACTCCACTGCTCCAGATGCTTAAGCTACAAGGTTCATCTTTGGGGTTGCCGTGATTAAAACCGCACAGTAAACGAGGAAGCAAAACCAGCTTATACGCCATTAGCTTTAAAGTGACATGACCCTTTGCAGTTTTGACTTGGCGCCGGATCTGCCCATCACACCTTGCCGCCAGTGGGTGGGGGCCCCGCTTGGCTTTGAGAAGATCCGTCCTCGCCTACGTCAAGGGCCTGCGAGGACGTGAGAGAAATGGCCGCATGCCTGACGCCTTTCTAAAGGCGAATCTAGACACCTGCTCAAGGTCAACTTCGGATTCATTCGGATAAGCGCATTTACCAGAAAGCAGATGAAAACAGTATCCTAAAAGCTGACAGGACGAGCAGATTGGTTCAACAATGGAGTCTGGATCACTCAAACAAATTGAACGGTTCCAGTGTTGGCTGTTGAACTTTGGACATGGGTTGGTCCGGTTGGCGGTCTCCGGTCGATCTCGGCCGTCATTCCAGACATTGGCACCAAACAAAATGTTGGTGCTTTGTGCATGCTCATGTCCCCACTTTGAGTGGAAACCGTCTGATACATTACTCTCGAGGGGGTTGTGAACCCCGTATTCTGAAGCCCACTGCTGGCTTGACTGGCCAGAATACTTTCGTAGTGTATCAAACAAAAAACACGTTCAAACAGCATGGATGCATCCAAATCTTCATGCGACGGATGCCGCTCGCACGTTTCCTGTAAAACACTCACCCTCCTTCCTGAGAGACGCGTGCTTGCCACGGGGGCTTCTGAATCACAAACCAATCTGGTGACTTTCAAACACAACCCGTCCTGAAATGAGCAAGTTCTACAAGCACGGCTGCAAAACCCTTCCCATAGGACCCCAGAAGCTCAAGCGGACCCTTAAGTTCAAAGCCGTGAACTGCCCGCAGTTTGACCAAGTCCTTTGCACCAACGACCAGCCGGCCCAACCTCATGGGCTAAGCCGTAGATCAAAGACATTGGAAACTAATCAACTTCCATGCTAACCTAAACCAACACACTTGGAAATCTACAAAGTCAACACACACACACACAACTTGCTGACTTGGAGCAAACTGCAACTCACCAACCTCAATGCTAACCTCCGCCCCACCGCCCGCTCGCCTCTTCTTCCATGCCTAGGTGCAAGGAAAAAGGCAAGGGGCGTCCAGATCAACCTCCAGGCGACATCGGTTTTCTCCCAATTGCAACTCCAAAATGGTAAAGCTTCCTTTTGGCTTCCCTTTGAACGAACCCCGCAAAATGGTACCTTCGAACTACTCCTAGGAATATGTCAAAAGCAGTGCGGACCCCTAGCCCAGTGAGGCATAAGCTCTCTGAATAGTGATGGGTGACCACCTAGTTGGTAGACAACTTTGCCCTTGGCTTCCTGTTAACTTTCATGTTTGTTTGCATGAAGGGTATGGGGACAAAAAGTAAAAACGGTTCGCTGATTCTCTCGCAATAGGAGCCATCTCTATTGCTAAGGTTGACTAAGTCTTTGCAAATTGACAAACCCACCCAACAAGGGGTGTCACCCACAAAAGTGAGGGGATCTCAGCGGTCAGTCCCAAACTTTGGGCCCCTTCGAGGCGGCGTGTGTCTAAGCGGCCGCTTCAAGCACAACGAGTTCAAGCTGCCGCGTGCGAACTGCCACACGCATTCTCGCTGTTGAAATCTCAGAAACCCTGGCAAATCCAGCTGCTGAGGCAGGGGCTTGGCTGGCGACCATGCAACCATGGTCTCTCGCCGGCTCATGTCGCGAAGTGCAGGACCCAGCTTGCTGTGTTGATGCGTAACGTGCAAACTGCCTGTTCAACCTGGCCCTTCTTGTGGCTATGTGTGCAGGCGACATCAGGCAACTGAGATGATACAAGCAATCCTTGCTCAAACCCGCCGCGGCATTCGTCCAAGACCGACAAGATTGCACCGATTGTACCGCGCATGCCCGAATTGCACAACATCCCGTGGGGAGGGCTTGCGGCTACGAGTACCTCGCCCAGTGGTGGAGAGTACTTTTTGGCATAACAACGAACGATTTGGGCAACACCCTGGTACCAGTATCATGTCCAAGTGACAGTCTGTTCATGATACATGTATTTGCATTCTGGTGAAGACTGGTGCGTACCCGTCAACACACATGCAAAAGCGCCTGCATTTCTCCAGGCGACGCGCGCGTGACAGAAAAGCTAGCAATCAAGAAGCAGTTGCGTTCAGGCAAGTGGTTGCATCATGCAGCAGGTCTGGCCCAGCATTCTCAGGCCACATGGGCAGAATGAGCCCTGGGACAATTTCGGCATGGGAGGTGCAGCTAAAGAACAGTTGTCCGGCCAGCCACATTGGCAGCAATTTGAAACAAGTGTTCTGTCCGCCAGGCTTCGCAACTGCCTCCTTGCGCCGGCAAAAGCTAGTGTACAGACACGCGGCGTCGCTTAGAGCTTGGGCTGTCCAACAGAACGCCCAGACCTGGTAGCAGGATGTCTCGAAATAGGACCCACAAAATTAACATGTTTGTTTGCCCGTGGTTTCCCTTCAAACTTATTGCAAAAGGGTGTCCTCAAATATACACCCCCACAAAGCTTCTGAATAAAAGCTGGCAAGTCACACTGTTTCGGCTATCCAACAGGGTTACGTTGTTGGATTGCCCAAAGAAAGACCTATACAAATGCAGGGGTTCCCGGTCCGTTTTGGACAAAATTGAATAGCTATCACTAACCAGGCATCAAACAACAACGTCGAGCTTTGACAATGCAATTCGAAAACCAGCACAACGAACACGTTGGGACCAAACGTTAAACATTGGGGCTGGTTCTCTTTTGGTCCCTTGGAAGCAACGTGCAAAGCGGCGCTCCCCCACATCGAATTTGCAACAACAAGTCAAGTACTGGGAATCTAAGAGTAAGTTGTGGCAATACTACACTTAGAATTGAGCACTGAGAATCTGAAAACTAAGCAAGTCCAAGTCTGGTGCGGAGCAACAAAGTCAACAGCAGGTGAGGCATTGCAATCTGAAAGTGTCAATCACTTTGCAGAAGCAAACTCCATCATGAAAACTGTGCAGGTGTTCTGTCCTGCTTTGCGAGATGCTGCTTTTGCTTTTGAGCATGTCTGCATGTTTGCTGGCTTCGTGTTTCTGTCATGCCCAGCCGTGGAACGAGGGAGCACACAGTTCTTCTGCTTCTGAATGGCCGAAAAGGCCTGTTGGCTTTTGTAGACTCGCACGGACACGACAAGGAGACCCCAGGATTTGCATCTTTTTGCACATGAATATCCCTTGAAAGACTTGAAAGTGTGATTTTAAGGGCCGTTGACCGCCAGACCGGATTGCTTTAGGCCACGCAGCAACCCTGCTCTTGCCCTGAATCCGGCTTTAGCGGCCTTTCAAACGGATGGGCAGCTATTTAGGTGCGAATTTTAATAGGGGGCCCTTTGGTGAACATAATTTAGCTGGGGATTCATGTCTTATCATGTCCACCACATGTGAGGCTAGACATTCATAGCCCTTTTTCACGCGTGGGAATCCGCTTCGCACGACCAAACAACGCCACTGCCTCAAGCTTCAACGGAGCCAGCAGCATCCGGGACCGAAAAGGTAAACAAAAAACGGATCCGCGCATCTGAATGCCAAGCCGCTGTCAGCCTCTGCTGTACCTCCGAGAACCTCAACAACGCGGTTCGTTTGCTGCCAACCTGGTAACTCATTGCCTGAGATGGGCCAAACAAAAAAACAACTTTTTGTTTGCCACTAAACTGTGATTTAACAACGTGTTAGCATTTGAAGTTGAAGTGTCTTTTGTTCCCCGCCAGGGTTGGGTTTAGATTGCAAGCGACATGTGCAGGTCTCGGGTGCTTGAGTTCCTGAGCTTGAGTTGGTGGCTTCACTTCCTGAGTTCCTGTACTTGAGTCACTGGTGGCTTCCCTTCATTTTGGTGCAAAAAGCCATGTTTCAACTGGGCAAATTTATCTTTTAAGGAGCCTTGTCGAACATTACGGGAAACGTGCCGAAAGCTTCCCAACAGCGATGCTGCTCTACGTGGCCGGAGATCTGGAGATCAGGCGTCAGTCGTCGAGGGATCCGGAACCTTCCCCATGTCCCAAAAGGAAATGGTGTGGAAACCTCGTCAGGCCGGCTTTGGGTATCCAGCACCTTTCCCATGTCCCCCAAAAATGAAAATGGAACCATGTTCCCCAAAATGGGAATGGCCCGCATTTGAATCGAGTTTCTTTTGGATGTATTGCCCATACACACTGGCAGCGATGCCTCCGCGGAGCATCCGTGGGATGCAAAACTATGAAAGGTGCCTATGCGAGCTACGCTTAATCTTAAGTGACTCATTAAGGCGAAACATGCCTACACGAACCTGCCTACAATGGATTCTCTTGAACAGCCTAAGCGAACTTCCTACCCGATCGCTTTCGCCTACGCCGTGCCTCTGCGGAAAGCAAGCTTCCCAACGACTAAGGGAAAATAGATTGCAATGCAAAAACTCGGCTCAAGTTGACTTCCCCTTCCTCTCCCCATTTCCCAAAGGAAGCTGTCGGCTTCCTTGGAGACTCGGAGACCGAGGCACCGCCACGCTCCACTGGCGCTGCGGGTTCATCTGCGCCGGCGCTGGTCTGGCCCCTGAAAAGGGCAGAGCTTCGGATTTAGCAGTCGGAGACGTGGATTTGCACTGTGCAAGCCAGTGTGAAAATCCCTGTGCTTCGAAACTATAAACCTGTCAATAGAGACGGTCGTGCGTACATGATAGCTCAGGACCAGTATAGTGTGAAATATTGATAGATTGGAGGTTTGTCCACATCGTATCTGAAGGAGACTTGGCATTCGGGCGGCACTCTACCTCCTCTTACCAAGACGTTTGAGTGTTTTTGTAAGTTGTGTCCTATACCTGGAATATATCCTATCACTCTTTCTCCATTGCTAAGCTTGATTTTTGCTACTTTTCTCAGAGCTGAATTAGGTTTTTTTGGTGTAAAAGTTGTTACTACTCCGCATATTCCCTTTTAAAAGCACTTGTGTTTTGCCGACGTCCCACGCCTACTGTCCTTGCGTCATCATGTGTTTTGCGGACAGTTATGTGCGTTTCTATGTGCAGTGCAGAGGCTGAGGCAAGGTGTCAGTGGCTGGTTGATGTGCAACGAGGGCGTAAGTCTTGCAGGGTACTGCATGAAATAGATTGACACACCTAATGCAGGAATCTCTTGAATTACTCTGAGCATTGCTGAAAGGAGGGCCCTCACACCAAATGAATCAGAAATCTGTTAGCCCCAAGAACTTGCCGCCACCAAAAGGCACGGTCCAGAACTGGCCTTCTGGAGACGACTCCGGCGGCGGCACCGGCGGCGGCTGACTGGGCGAGGATGCCTCAACCGTGCGCCCCGCCGACGGCCCGAAGCATAGGGTCAGGACCCAAAACGGCTTGGATGCGCTCTGTGGATTTCACCTTGTTCCTTTTTTATTCACGTTTTGGTACGTTTCAATATGTTCTACAGGGGTGGATCCACAAACATCAGCAACACGACGAACAGCGTGCCTGTATTACCAGTTGCGCTGGATATATGTTTTGGTCAAAAGAAGGCTTGCCTTCGTTTGCCTCAACAGAACAGCTTCCGTCTAATTGGTTTGGTGGTTGGGACATCAAGGGCTACCTTCCCCATTTGGAAAGATGCTGGGGTTCAAATTCCCAAACCACAAATCCAACCCACCAACAAAGGCTTACTGTAACTAAGGGTAACCTGAACATTTGTTTGACCCTCATGTGTGTTTCTGGTTTTCCGCTTCTTCCCCTAAACCCAAAGGTGCCATGAAAAGAACAACACACCCACATGTCAATTTGCCTCACAAATGTTTCGCCACAATAACCCTTCGGGTGGGACAGAGTGCTGGCAGTGCGAGACAAAGCGCTCGACCAAAAAGCAAGCAGAAAATTGTCCCTGCAGCTGTCGTCGGAGCAGTTAGCTGAGATGTACACTGCAAACCCTCTTGCGAGCATACTGTCCACGTGGTTTCCGAGTGTTCCAACCTTGTCCGGGGGTTTGTCTGGAGGTTTGTCCCGGGTGTTTGGTTTCGGGGGCCACTTTAAGCTAACAAGCAAAGGCATGTGTTTAGATGCGGAACCACCTCTGTCAATGCAATTAATGGCACCACCCGTAAAACACCAAAAGGATGGTATGTGTCAAAACCGGGGTACCGAAACATGGTGATCTACCGGTCTACCTTTTGTCTTCTGGGAAGAGAACCTTCATCCACTTTTGGTGCCATTTGAACCGGGGTAAAGGCTTGTTTGAGTCACTGGCCTCAAACATGTGACCATCCCACTCATCAAATGAGCACGCGGATCCAGGATTCATTTAAGCTTCAGATTCACCTTCCAATGCGGTACAACAGTTCTTTTCTTTGGAATCCAACCTAAGTGATGTGCACGGGTGCCCAACTAAAAGTCACGCCTATGCGTACATGTATGTGTACATATGATCACACACACACACATCCTGGGCCTTCCTTCCTATATTCTAGTGATATATAAATATATATACTCTACATATAATATGTATATGCATACATACACACACATACATACATACATACATACATTACATTCCATTACATTACATTACATCACATTACATAAATACATACCTACCTACCTACCTACCTACCTACCTTACATACATACATACATACATACATTACACACATACATACATTACACACATACATACATTACACACATTACACACACATACATACATACATACATACATACATACATACATACATACATACATACATACATACATAATTACAATACATTACATTACATTACATTACATTACATTAAATTACATACATACATACATACATACATACATACATACATACATACATACATACATACATACATACATACATACATACATACATACATACATACATACATACATTACATACATACATACATACATACATACATACATACATACATACATACATACATACATACATACATATTACATACATACATACATACATACATACATACATACATACATACATACATACATACATACATACATACATACATACATACATACATACATACATACACATACATACATACATACATACATACATACATACATACATACATACATACATACATACATACATACATACATACATACATACATACATACATACATACATACATACATACATACATACATACATACATACATACATACATACATACATACAT